GGGGGGAGAAGGGGGAGCATCGATTCTCGATTCGGCTGCCAGATGTTCCAGAAACTCGGAGCGAGTGGGCGCGAGAGATATCGGCGAGGTGTGGGGCAGAAGGCGCGGCGACGGGCTGCTGTCAGAGAGAGAGTCGGACAGACAAGGCACAGCAGAGGAAGCAGGAAGGGTAGCTGCAGACATTCCAAGGTCAGGAGAGAGCGATAAGAAGGGACAGGGAGGGGCATGTAGGCCGGGAGATGAAAAGAGACGAATACATAGGGTGGGAGTGGAAATGCGGAGCACCAGGGTGGAGAGCAAGTGGAATGAGACGGGCCAGGAATTGAAAAAGTTTGGTGTCCCCCCCTCGCCCGCCATTGCCGCGGCTCCTGTCCTGCTGTTCGCCGACGCGCCGTGCCGTGGCTTGTCGCCGGCTGGTTGTTAGGCCCTTGTCGTACCCCGCTGAGCGCGGCTCCCCCTCGACCTGCATGCCCTCCTGTCCCTGTCCTGCGTCGATAAGGCATACCCGTGACAGCTTCACATACGTCTCCTGCACAATGTATTGTCTCCGTATCGCTTTGCTAAGCACCCTTCCGTTTCCTGTTCTTTTTCAGGGCGACGACTACCTGCAGTACGCGTCCATGCACCAGGCGGGCGGGCGCGCGGGCGGCCCGGGCGGCGACCGTGGCGTCGGCGGGGTCGGCGGCGGCCTCCAGGGCGGGGCGGGACCGGGCGGCGGCCCCGCCCTCCTGCCGGGCGAGCCGCGCTTGCAGAGCCTGCAGGCCGCGGCCGGCGCCAACCTCACGGCCAAGGACGGCGACTGGCAGATTGTCAGCGGGACCAGGTGCGTGTGGGAGAGAGGGGTTTTCGGCTGAAACTGGGGCATGAGGAGTTGGGGGCACCCCGGGCACCTTGTAAAGCCAGGGGGTAGTACGAGGAAAACACACACGCGAGTACGGGGTAAGGGGGGAGAGGGGAGGAACATAGAGAGACAGAGCGATAGAGCGATAGAAAGAAAGAGAGAGAGAGGGGGGGCTGGCCGTTTCACCTTACGGCCCCTCGACGCCGCAGTCGCCGTGTCGTCATTCATAATCAATGAGGTGCACGCCACACCACGCCACGCCACGTCACGCCAAAGTGTTTGTTGGTGGCTAAAGGCCACGCCTGCTTGTGTTGTCTGGGCGCTGGTCTGGTCGTCGGCCGGCGCGTGAGCGTGAGTGGGACGATTCGCGAAAATTAAATTATCGACCGTTCCGCGACACAACTGCCAGCCGCTGCCACCACCCCTCCCTTTTCTCCCGCCCCCGCGCACCCCGCTACTGTACTCCACCGCCCCCTCCCCTCAACCCGTGCCGCGGCGAGACGGTTTGACGCGGGGTGATTTACAACGCCCACCCGAGGAACTCGCTGCCGCGCCCAACTTTTGTTTTCAACTTATTTTTGTTCCTCCACCCAAACTTCTTTCCCCGCTTGGCAGGTTCAAGTTTCTGGTCTTTTCGGCGTTCTTCGACAAGAGAGACGGCAATCGCATGATCCGCATCGTGGGCGCGACCAAGACCCGCCTGCCGGAGCGGGTGTTCTGCCGCTACTGGTACCCGGAGGGGAAGGGCGAGGGCGCCGCCAAGTGGCCCGCCGACCGCACCCTCACCGTGCCGGCCAAGGTGAGCGGAAACTGCATCGAGAGATGGACGTGGACAACTCAAATTTTGGAGGGACAC